CCCAACACCAAAGAGCCCAGGTCCGCCTTACCCAGCCCCGCCTGGACGCGAGCGCTTGGCACGGAGCGATCCCGGGGAAAGGCTGGTGCAGCTGGTCCCTAGCGGAGCTGGGTTGCTGCCATCCGCCCAACTTCAGCACCCAGCCGGCAGGGAGAGAGAGAGAGAGGAAAGGAGGGAGGAGAGCAGAGCAGAGCAGAGCAGAGGAGAGGAGAGGAGAGGCAGGCGGCGCACATGCGCTCTGCCACTAGCGCTGGAGCCTCCCCGAGCAGCTGGAGTTTCCCCGCTTGTCCCCAGGCTGTGACTCACGGCCAGTCCCAAGCCCCCGTCCCCCGGGAGCTCCTGCCGAGCCACGCAGGCGGGAGGGGGCCAGCCTGGGCCAGGCTGGTCCCAGCCCCGTGGGATCCGGCGGCCGTGAGCCAGGCTGCATTTCGGGGCGGCTTTTGAAGACACCTGGTGTGATGCGTGATGGGTCAGGGGGATGTTTCCCAACCTGTCTCTCTAAATAGATGCCAGGGGCACGTTAGGACAGCTGCCCTCTCTGGCTTTGAAATGGAAAATGGGCATGGGGGGATGAATGCATCCCGACTGGAAAAGGTAAAGGCTCGCCTTACCTGGTTGCCACCTATTTTTGTCCCTCCCCCATTGTGCAAACAGAGAAAGGAAGGCAGGCTGTTGCTTTTGCTGCATGCACATAAAACAGCCCCAAATTTGATGCACCTCAGTGCAAATGCTGCCCAAACCTGGACCCAGCCCCTGGACACTGTTTTGGCCACCCATGCTCCACAGAGGAGAAGTGTGGGTGCTTCCGACTGCAACACGTCTAGTTGCACCAGGAGTGTAAACATGTGGCAATAGCTTCTGAAGCCTGGCTGATGTTGCCAATTATTTTGCCTGAATTTCACAACTGCCACTGTCTAAATAGAGAACATGTATACCGTACCCACTGCACCTTAAAAATCTGGACTCTGATATGCCTCAGTGCACCCATTCTGGAGAAACACTTGTTTGGCATCTGGATTCTGTTGCATCCCACTCCCATTCTAGGAATGCTAGCATCTAAACAGACAACAGATGTTGCTTCTGTTAGTCAACGAAAACAATCTGGCTCTCAACACATCCTAATACGAGAAAGGTGCAAAAATGTTAATTTGGAACCTGAATGCTGCTGACTGGATATCTCCCTTCCACACCACATCTCTCATTCCACCAGAATAACTGAGATCCCAATACACTGTGATGGTATAGCACTACAAGAACATAAGGCCAAAACTGTTCCAATTCTACCACAGCTGAAATGAAACAGCCCCATAAAGTTAATGCTCCTAAAAGCATGGTCATCACTTGTATTTTCTTTCCAAACCCCAAATCCAATTATCAGAGAACAACAGTTATAATCATTTGGACTCTATCCTTGAATCCTGGCACTGACGCCACAGATTCCTAGTGATTAGAATTTAAGCATATGAAAGTCATTGCTCTACGCTTCAGAAACCGGAGTTGGTTTGCTTAGATGCCTAAATAAGGATGCTGGGGCCTAACTTTAAATGCCTGTATTTGAGTTGTACACCTAGATGTGAAAATCTGGTCTACATTTTTAAATAACAAAAGGGCAACACAGATGACTGAAGTATCAAGGGCCTCCATGTGGCCCATCTCAACTTCAGTTACCAGAAAGAATTGATTGAAGCCATATCCCTTGCAGCCATACCCAGAGAACCCAAGGCAAAGAAGGTGGAACAAGTGGCTTTCAAGAATCATTTCTTTCTAGAACAGGGGTCAACAATGTTTTCCAGCAGGGAATTAGAATGACACAGCTCAGATTAGAGAAAGTGGGCACTAGGACCAGGCTGCCACTTCTTCCTGCTGCCCAGCTGTAGTGCCACGTGCCAGAATCCCACTCCAGGTGCCCAGCTACGGTGCAGGGAGAGCCACCTGCCATTAAATGCCACCAAAGCCATGCCTCTGCAGGCTAGATCCAAAGGCTCTGTGGGCTGGATTCAGGCAAAAGACAGTAGGTTGCCAACCCGTCTTCTAGAAGATGACTGGTTTGTGCATTAGAATTTCCTTACTCTTGAAAATGATGATCCATTTTCCCTACCAGCAAGGAACTGGTAATAGCTTTATTCTTAAATAAGAGTGTATGTTTTCAGTCAGGGAATGGAAAATGAGAGGTTCACAGAAAAGTTTATGGGCCTATTCCTCCCTAACTTCTGGTCTGTGGAAGTTTAGCTGAGTCCATTCCTCAAGACACACATTTGTTATTCATATTTTGGATATATCGATTTGGGGAATCTTGGGAAAAGAGAAAAAAATATATTGTATCCCATATTTCCTAGTGATTAGGGGTTTAACTTTTGTACTTTTTTAATTTTAAGAAGAAAATATACAGTTCATTACATGTGTGAGTTGTGAGGAGCAACATTGAGTTATGGGAACAGTCTGAGTTACTTGTTTATTTCCAGGTTTTCTAACATATTAGGTTTTGTGAAGTTGTTTAAATTCCATAAAGAAAGTAATATTGTTCCATGTGTTTGCTGAATTGCATTGAACTATATTTTCAACCTTAACTCTTTTACAATAAAGCTTTTTGTTTGTTTAGAAATCTTCTACACTGATAATCAGCCAAAATGTTAAGGCTATGTTTCAGGGGAGCAACCCTGTTAGGAAAAAAACCCTCTTAAACATCTGCTTAACTCTAAACTCATGCGTACGTCCATTAAAACCAGTGGGAATAAATGTGCTTAAGATAGGGATGACATTTTTGTCTAACAGTGGCTTTGAATCATACCAAAGCAAATCTCTTCTACAGATTTGCAAGTCCATAGGAAGTATGTGTGGTGGTAGCAGTTATGGCAGGCAGAAGTTGTAAACAAATAATAAGAGGGAATGAAGGGGGGAGCAAGGACAAAATGATCAGGAACAGCAAGAGCAAGTCATAGATTTCCTTTAATGTTTAGGTTACAGGGTCTGTGAATGGGGGGATAGCAGTGAATGTGAGGCTTCCGATACCGTCTTCCACAAAATTCTTGTTAATCTTCTTCTTCCCTGACTTGTCCTATCTAAACGGGGTCACTGTTAAGGATCCTAGCTTTCCACCAGCTTTGGTCATACGTATCTTCTTCCCACTCCTTCTCTCTCATGTCCTTCTCCGCTCTCTCCATCTCATCTTCAGTCTTCCTCTTCCTCTTCTCCTTGGTAGTGCCATTCTGGTAACTTCTGTTCCCACATACTCTTCCACACTCCTTTGAACATACCCATACCATGCCAGTCTTCTGTCTTGTACTTTCTTAGATGCCCCCACTACCTTCACCAATCCTCTGATGTAACAATTCCTCACTTTATCCATCTTCATCACTTAACACATCCATCAGAGCATTCTCATCTCTGTCATGTTCAGTCTTATTTCTTGAGCTTTCTTCAGGGGGCATGTTTTTGTGCTGGATACATGTCTTGTAGACTTTCCCCTTCAACTTCACCGATACTCTTCTGTTGCATAATATTTCTGTCACCGATTTCCAGTTTGTCCACCCTGCCCTCATTCAATGATTCAGCTCTTCATCTAACTGGATTCTGCTGAATGGTTGACCCCAGATACTTGAGCTTGTCAACTTTTAAAACATGTTTGTCATAAATTATCACATTTCCTATATCAGGTACCTAAGAGAAATCACAGTGCATATATTCCATTTTGGATAGACTAATCTTCATTTCTCTTCCCTCTGGCACTTCTCTCCATTGGTACAATACAACTTGCACTTCCTCTAGACTCTCAGCTCAAATGACCATGTCATCCATGTAGACCACATTCCAAGGTGGTCATCTTATTTGTTCAGTAAACACATTCATCCTGACTGCAAATGGGAACGGACTCAAAGTTGACCCTTGATGTACAAAATTCTAATGAATAATTAAGATGCAGACTGGGTGAATGCTGTGCAAGGTGGATCCATAACTGGTTGGATTCATAGATTCATAGATGTTAGGGTCAGAAGGGACCCCAGGAGATCATCGAGTCCAACCCCCTGCCCTGGGCAGGAAAGAGCATTGGGGTCAGATGACCCCAGGTAGGTGCTTGTCCAGTCTCTTCTTGAAGACCTGCAGGGTAGGGGAGAACACCACCTCCCTTAGAAGCCCATTCCAGGTTCTGGCAGCCCTTACTGTGAAGAAGTTCTTTCTAATGTCCAGCCTAGATCTGCTCTTGAGCAATTTGTGGCCATTGATCCTAGTTACTCCAGGGGGCACCCTAGTAAAAAGAGTATCTCCTATTCCCTCCTGCCCTCCCCTGATGAATTTATAGGAAGCCACAAGATTACCTCCCAGCCTTCCCTTGCGAAGGCTGAAGAGAACTAGGTCACTCAGTCTCTCCTCATAGGGCCTTGCCTGCAGGCCTCTTACCATATGAGTGGCACTCCTCTGAACCCTCTCAAGATTCTCCACATCCCTCTTGGAGTATAGCACCCAAAACTGGATGCAATACTACAACTGGGGCCTGACCAGTGCTGCATAGAGGGGACGCATCACCTCCCTGGACCTGTTTGTCATGCATCTGCTAATGCATGATAAAGTGTGGTTAGCCTTGTTGATCACTTTGTCACATTGACAACTCATGTTCATCTTGAAGTCAGCTATGACTCCAATATCCCTTTCTGCTGCTGTGCTGCTAAGAAGGTCATCCCCCAGCCTGTAAGTGTGTTGGTGGTTCTTTTTGCCCAGGTGCACCACTTTGCACTTGTCTTTGTTGAACAGCATCCTATTTCATTCTTCCCATTTTTCCAACCTGTCCAGATCTGCTTGGATCTGTTCCCTACTCTCTGGTGTGTTAACTTTGCCCCATAACTTGGTATCATCTGCGAACTTGGACAGGGTGCTCTCCATGCCCTCATCCAAGTCACTCTTGGAATATCAGACTCTTGGGTGCATCTACATATGACACTATGTCACAGTAGCAATGTGCTACAGTGATGTAGCATCTGCAGGCATCTACACATGACCAACAGCTACTTTGCCAAAGTGAGATGCTCCCCTGGTATAGCATGCTGCTATGGCAAAGTAGCTGCTAAAAATAAGCATGTGCTGTACATACGGTGCAGTATGGGCTGTTACTTCCTTTTGGAAATACTAAATCATGGCACAGTAACAGTGTCACCATAGTGAC